GGGAGGACCCACTTTATTAGGGACACCCAGATAGTACCAGGGAGGACCCACTTTATTAGGGACACCCAGATAGTACCAGGGAGGACCCACTTTTGCCTCCTGAGCCACTAAAAGGGTAGGTAATTTGTACCTTCAGAGAAACTTTTTTTTGCATGCCACAGTTTTACTAAGCTGGTATGTTTTATTGTAGCGGTTATGGTCTGGCCATTCTCCTATGACCTCTCTCATTAACGGCATGTTTATGTCCACTGAAATGCCACTGGCTGGATGTTTTATTATTGCGCTGCTCTCAGTAAACATTAAACATCACAGAGTGTGAAAATCCCAGGATACTGGCTGTTTCTGAGATGCTGGACCACCATGTCTGCCAACAACAATAATATCATTCTGGAACTCTCTTAAGCGAGGTGTGTCAGCTGTTCTACTGCTGAGCCAAACAGGAAATAAACAGGGCAGTGGGTCAGGTTGCTGTGCCTGTGATTGGAAGGTCCTTAACCCCAACCAGCTCCCTGTTTTCTCTCAAAAATGTTCACCACTTTGGATAAAAACACTGATTAAATAATTAAAGTGTAAAGGGAGATGCAAAACTCAACACATTGTAGATGCTTGTGTCAATTTCAGTGTTAATGCTTGTGAGTGCGCATGTGTTTTCAGCATATATGAGTCTCATTCAATGTTGCCAATCAGTATATAACTGAATAAGCGCAGAAACAAAATACAATCATTATCTACCTCTATATGAGTGTTTGCCACACAAAGGAGAGCAAGATGGGATATGTGAAAACACCTTCAAGACTTGACATGCTTGTACAAATGGTGCACTGGTGGCCAAAATTGTGGCAACATCCAGCATTTCTGGCATCACACTTAAAACTCAATAAACAATCAAAGAATGTTTACACATATATATTGGACAATTAAATAAGTAACTGGAGTAACAGTTGAATAAAGTTTTGAAATCTCTAAAAACTGGAAGTATTTCCAAAATTTTACCCACTAGTATAAATAAAGCATGACTTTTTTATTTTACCCAAACTGAGTGATAATCACTATAGTGTGTATGATTTGTAGTTCGCATGACCATGTTGGAGAGAGGCTTTTAACACTTGATGCAGAATTGTGGTCTTCAGTGGTGTGTGCTGACGTTTGTACCTCAGTCGACTTTCCATTCTATTGTGGGTCAGGGTTAGAAGCCACCCACCATGACCAGTGACATGTGACCCTCATGTGACCCTCATGTGAGCTGGTTTCCCTGGCGACCGGCTCTCAGTGTCTACAGTAACCCCCCTCAGGCCTCACATGACCAGATTTTTCATAGCACACATTCACAAGCATTTAGCTGCTCATTATCCCATTTTAGCACAATAAGCGTCACATCCAATTACATGCTGCTAGTGCAGGCCTTGGATCCACGTAAAAATGCCCGTGCACAGACCAAGAGACGTCACTGCAAAGTAGACAGAGTCACCAGCAGAGTGGCGGATGGGCAGCAATGCAGATGACAGTGTTGTCGATTAAACTCAGGCAGCTACTCCAAAACATTCAGAAGAAGCCTGGACATAACATTTCTTTATTTCTTATGCCGCTTTTATCCAACATGGCCTGCAAATATTGTGGAATGTGTAGCGTGTGCAGCTCAGTACTTTTCATCAAGCGGCAGGAGATGCAGGTGCAGCCGGTTTAACCAGCCACTGAAATACACTGTGAGCAAAATTGTGGACACACCTAGCATTTTTGGCATCACACTTTAAAAATTGCTACAGGAATATTGGCAGTACTGCTTATAAACATACACTGGATGATTCAATAAGTAACTGGAGCAACAGGTGAATAAAGTCCTGCAATCTCTAAACATTGGAAATGTTTGAAATTATTGTCCATTCTGCCTTCTTCGGTACCAGTAGCATCAAGAAACACCGTGTTGCTAATAACAAGGCAGGTTTCAGTATTTCAGTCTGCAAACATTTCAAAGCAGCAGTCTTGGCAGGAGCTTCAGTTCAGCCCCTGAAGGGCGATTATATATACACTGGTAATCAGTCTCCTGTAGTTCCTGGTCACCAGCACTCAAGGCTCAAGCTCACCAGGCTGTAAATTGAACCGGAATTGAAGTTATATAATGCATGAACATTTTTAGCTCCGTCCGAAAAAGAACATATCTCACTGACACAAAGTCTGGGCAGGGAAGTAAATGTTTACTTGGAAACCAGAGTCATTTTCAAGGCCAAGGACAATGAGTTGGGGACAAGACTGGCAGTAAAGAGAAATTTTATTTAGTTCAATTACTAAAGAAACAGAACAAAACATAATTTTATGTAAGTACTGTATATATGGTCAACATGCAGAGACCAGGTCACCTGACTGTTGGCCCCAAGTTTGCCATAAGCCACAGGCATGTGTCACGACTTGGTGTTTCTCAAATAAGCCACTGCCTGGATGTTTCCTTGCCCTGTGCTCTGT